TAAAATGAAATACTTTTGGAATGTCGTGAGTATAAATATTGTAAAGAAAAAAAGAGAGAACGGAGCCTTGAGGGACACCTGAAATAATATTTCTTGTAGTTGAGAGGGTGTTTCCAATTTTGATAGCAAAGGGTGCTCGAGGCTTAAGAGTGGAAAATTTAATCTCGTGGTGTTTATTTGAATGGCCCCTTTCTTACCCATGCCTTCGTTACGTAATTTGAAGCTTGTCCGTTGATGGGAGGTCCGAGTCCCAGCAAGTGCATCACTAAATTTTCATATTTCATGCCTTGAACTCCTCAAAGTAGTAATTTTGGATGATAAAATTCTATGATTAAATTCTTAAATGGAGTTGTTGTGAAGAATTTTGAATAGTAGCACATGATGAAGTCAACTTCTAAAACTACTTAATGGATGATTTGAAGTAATGCGTTTGCAATTTTATTATATCTGATTGGCAAATGCGTTTGCAATTTTATTATATCTGATTGGCAAAAGAGATAGGAAGTTAATGTGGGATAGCTAAAGATTTACAGGATTTCTGATATTGATCAGCAATTATAATGATAGTTGCTGAAGGTGAACGGTTTGAGTTAATGTAAAAGAAATGGAACTGATTGGTATGGCTCATATTATGAGAAGCATATGTTATAAATATGTTTGAAAAGAATTTTGAATTGCCATTTATTACATTCTTATCAAGTATGAAGTGTATGAAAGCAATATGTTGTTTTGTAAGATCAAGTTAACCGAAGAGATATTGGAAGTTAATGTGAAGTTTCGTAAAAAGTAATAAATAAAACAAGGTAGAGATTTAGTATTTCTTACAGGGTTTCTGAAATTGATCTGCAATTATGATAGTTGCTGAGGGCAAATATTTTGAGTGAAATGGAAGACCAGGTATTAATTGTGTGTTGCATGATATGATTAAAAAAGAATTTTTAATTGCAATGTATTACAGTCTGTGATGCAAAGTAGCTGCAGACTATAGAAGTTTATACATTAGGAACTTGAATCAGAAATTGTTTGAACATCTGAAATGATTATAATGAATTTTACTTTCTGTCTGTGAAATCAATGTCTGTCTGTTAGCTAGGAGGAAAAGAAAAAGGTATTTTAAGTACCAGAAGCATTTGGAATGTTAGAAAGCGAGTCTTATCAATGTTTCTTTAGATAACGGCAGATATTATTTAGAAAGAAAGGCTAATTTCGACTTTTGATCTCAGTACAGAATGGATAAAAAGTATGTGTAAAAATAGGTTTCATACTTACTTGTCCTAGTAGCCTAATCTATTCTCTTTCAAGTAAAATATGTATAAACTGGGTGGAGATAATGTGTGGTAAATACTTAGTTAGAGATGCCATGACTGGAACTTGTGGAATAAGAGATTAAAGAAATAATAATCAAAGTAGAAATTGTTAGACCAGGTGAACTGGAGAAAAGTTTCTGAATTCTATTACAGAATTACTGTGATACTGAAAATAGTAGTTATTATACTACAGTGACTATACAGAATTTTAAAAGCATCTAATGGCTATGATTAAGTTAAGTGAAAGCAGCTTTTTCTCTGGTTCAGAGTAGAGTGAAAATAGAAAATTATACTTAAGAAACTGAATAGAAGATTATGCAGTTGTACTAGGTTTCTAAAAAATGTTACTGTAGGTAAAAAGGATTTTTAACACTGTGTTCCAGGATTTTACGTAACTCCAGAGAATGGATACAAAGTGTGTGTAAAAATAGTTTTCATACTTAGTTGTCCTAAGTTGTCTGATCTATTCCCTTTCAAGGAAAATATGTATAAATCATTCCCTTTCAAGAAAAATATGTATAAATCGGGTGAAGATAACATGTTACAGAATTACTGTGATACTGAAAATAGTACAATGAGTATATGGAATTTTAAAAAATGGCTATGATCAATTAAGTTTGTTAAGAAAAAGCAGCTTTCTCTCTGGCTCAGAGTAGAGTTTTCATTATACTTCAAGAAAGTAAATAGAAGATTATGCAGCTGCATTCGATTTTGTGTTCAATAAAAGTTTCTAAAAATTTTACTGTCTGTAACAATGCTTTAACACTGCATGTTCCAGGATTTTACATGACTCCAGTAGTACATCACTACCAGTTACATGCTACCAGTGTACATGACTTAATGTACTAGTTGCTTTGTTTGACATTTCATGAATTTGTAGGACACCTTTCATTAAGTTTCATTCAGGTAATTAACTCATTGCCATTTTAAATCTTCGAAAAAGGAAGAAGAAAGATGTGTGCAGGCAAATAAGAGTAAATTTCAGAAATTTAGAAAATATAATAATATGAATAAATCATAAATTCAGAAAATATATTCTTAAAAACCAGTAATATGAATAAGTGCTAGAAAAGAAGTAATATTCTGGGAATATTCATGATATCTCCTGGAAGAACATTATTATTGAGTAATTATAATTTTTAAGTTTAGAGCAATTATAACCTATTAATGGTGAAGAACCTGAAGAATAATTTACTGTGTGAACTCTATAGATTACATAGCAGACTATTTGTTGTACTGAGCATTTGCACAGATGTAAATTAATGTATGTTTTCATGGACAGAGATGTAAAAAAGTAAGTTGTGTGATGATTACAAGTGCATTTAGAACTGATTAGTATTGCATGTGGTTTTTCTATGATATAATTGGACTGATTAAATGGTTCCAATATGATGCATGCTTGCTTTTGATGAAATTTACCATTTGCAATATTTATTCTAAGGAATTCGTAGAATATTATTAATTAATATTAGAGCCTAGTTAATGTTTTTGTTTCAGAATGCAATGCTTGTCATGATGGATAGCATAGCCATTTCCCATGCATTTCAATTACTAATTTTGATGAGCTTATTGCAAGTAAGAATAGTATCTGACAAGCCATCTGTCATGAAATTAATAGATATTTTATTAATTACATATCAAGAGATTTTGCATGAAATTTGTGTAGAACACTGTTATAAATACTTTTGAACTGAACATATGTGGATCCTTTTGTAAACAAGTAATTGTAGCAGAGAAATCTAATATTAATACCACATGGCAATTTTTCAAAACATTTTATAATTGAAGCTTATGAAAATTTTTTGAATGTAAGACAGATAATTAATAACTGTATTTTCTACAAAAGTGCATATGGCTGTTTTTAAGTTCTGTTTCATAATTGATAATGGTTCAATTGTTTACTTTTGAAACATGATTTGGTTGTTTTAGTTTATATACCAAAATTACAACTGTTATTCTTCAATATTAAAATTTCATAACTGTATTTGCATAAACATTTTGGCAAAAATAGGTTGGAAAAAATTTCAAAAAAGAAAGATGCCTTATAGAATCTTTAAAATAGTAATATTTATGTTGAAAGGGGTATGCTTGTGTTTGGTTATTCTAAATGAAGTTTTAGATAATTTAGTTTATATGGTAATTGAATTTGTGTATTCCAGATATAATGTAGAGCATAATGTCCAGTGCAAAGCTGGTAAGTGGGAAAACAGTTTATTTCTTGGAAACAAATTTATCTTTGATATACATGATATACAATAATCAAAAATCTGTATTTTAGAATCTATTTTCAGTAAAAACCATAATTAAGGCGGGACTGAAGTAGTACTTCGTAAAGAATAGGAGTCAGTTCCCGCAGAATCCAATGCTTGGCATTGTTTCTTGAATCGACAGTGCATATATTGTGGTTCTGCAGGATATTTTCATGAGAGGGAGGGATAAAATAATGATTTATATGCATCTCTTGCTCAGATATAATAGCTTTATGCAGTTTTCTTAAGGAATAGACAGTTGTGAACTTGACAAATTTTTATCACATATCCTGGTAGATCGCCAAATCTTCCGATTTTTAATTGTTATTTTTCAGCATAATTTTTCTTATTAAATTTCATTTGATCTGAATTACTTTATCCTTTATAGACATTCGTAGAATATCTTACGAAGATTTAACCAGTGTTTAGTCAGTTAATGACTGTATTTAATTTCATTTTATATCAATAAATGGTTCATTACTGTGTCTCTGTTCAGGATTTTCTCAGTGCAAAAGTGTAAGCAAATTATAAAATTAAAGAATATAAGATTTGAATATTTAATTAAACATTTTAATGTATTGTCAATTTTTGTCGTCTGGTAGTTTGGTTATTAATCTTTGTCAGTGAATTATACACAGGTTTGTTTCATGAAAAATCCTTAAAATGATTGTATATTTTTTAACATGAGGCTTAGAGGTAAATCCCTGCCAGTATATATAATGCATAAAAGTAAATATAAGCATACACATACATGTGTGCAAGAAATATGCAACTCAAAATTACCAACTTTAGTTTGACGATAGTCCTTTTAATTACTCATTTTAATTTGTTTGTGTCCCTTTACTTTCCTAAATGGCTTATAATAATTTTTCTGGACTGCATCTTTTTAAATTAATGAATTTAGCATGCAGTTCCCCTCTACTGTGGATGGCTCTCATCGAGTGGCAAAGTTGAACAAGGAACTCAAATTTATAAATACCAGTGCTACTAATGTGCAGCCCTTTTTATCTGTGCTTCATTTTGCATTATGCCTAGCTAGGTGCCATTGGTGCTGTGCTTTAAATATCGGGTCATGATGCAACCAAAAAAGGATGTGGACTGCAAGAAATCGGGATAGAGGTTTTCGTGGAGTCTACATGCATTTATTTAGAAAGTAATTCTGCAATCATATGCAGATGATGTATACAAAGTACGAATGTAGAAACGCCATTTATCAACACTTTTAGTTACATAGTGGTAAAAAAGAATATATATGCATCAGATATACTTAATCACAATCCACACGTGTTCTTCATTCATGCATTGAAGTTTTCCATAATTTATGGAATGTGATAAGCTAAAATAAGGAATCAAAAAGCTATTAAATGAGTTTTCAAAAAATGTATTGAAAATTGTAGGATTTTTTTATTTACAGTTATTGCAATGAGGGATAGAAATAATTTTAAGTCACTAGAAAAATATAACTTTTTATTTTAGAAAATATATATTTTAAGTTACTGAAAAATTAAATTTTTATTTAAGAAAGTAAAAATTATAAATTTTTATTTAAGAAATTAATAATATTTATTGTGTATTGAATGATCAAATAACTGAGCAAATTTGAAAAACAAATTATTCTTGTATGTTTTCTCTTTACAAAAGCAAAAATAATAAGGGACACTTATTACTTATTACTTTTGCTTTAAGTCAAAAGTCTGTGTCAGTTTATGATTTCTATATAGTGCACGTTCATAAAGATATACTTGTAATTTTCTTCAGAGCTACTCTACCTGTGTATCAATTTCTATGAAACTTCCTCTTTAATAGTCATTTTATTTCCATAATTTTTTTTTGGGGGGGGGTTAATTTAAATGTTTCATAGCTAATGGTGTTTTTAAGATACAGTGTAACGTACCAGAATTCCCAGCCATTTTAAAAGTACATTTCTTCAGCTAATGCTTTAAAATACTAATATTTTTCCCATTGGAAAAAATAATGTCAACTAATTGATTAATATTTTGGTTTCATGTGTCTCGTGTAATGTGAATACCAAATTTTAATCTATAATAACAAAGTATGTAGAAATATTCTGAGAAAAGTCAATGGAAATTAGATGCTATTCAAGCAAAACAAATGCATCTTGCATATATCATTTTTAAGTTGGAAGGAAGGAGGAATTATTTTTTCAGTTAATTATTAATAATTAAAAAAGCCCTAAATTTTACTGTGTATTAGTATGCTATTTACTAAACTTCATTAAACCAAAAGGAAAACTTGAAAGATACACTGAACAGCATTGATTTTATGCTTCTTTATAAATCGGCATTTTATTAAGCACATTTTTAATTGCATAAAAATTAATGATACAGAACACCATTTATTACAGATTATCTGCATTATTAAAACTGCATTAATTAAAGATGATCTTTTCAGTGTCTCTTAAGACTTCCAGAAAACATGATATTTTAATGATTCATTATTTGTATATTGGTAGCTTTGTTCTGTTGCTTCTATCAACTTTAAAAAATGCCTTTAAAAAAAATCAAAATGACAAAGTGTGATTCTAAATTTGTCAAAATTTCTAAAAGCTCTGCATTTTTATCTACGATTTTTTCTTCAATGTATCAGTTGGTCAAAATGTATCTTATATACATCTTATAAACCATTGTAGATCCACAGAATATCTTAATTTCTAATTCACTACACACTTTAACCTATCAGAAGTGAAGAAAATCAGTTTGAAATCTTACAAAGTCTTAAGGTGAAATTATTTATACAGATTGTGATAAAAATAGGTTACTTCATTTTTGAACTGTATTGCTGCATAACTGTGTTGAACTGTATTGCTGCATTACTGTGTTATTGTTGTAGGTATTAATAGACTTGACAGAAAATTGTACTAAAGTTTAGTAAAACAAATGGTTACTATAATAAGGAAATGGCTAAATTGTCAAATAATGTTTAATATCATGTTTAGCATTAGTATTATATAAACGATCATCATTTAGTCCTGGGTTACTTAAAGAACATTGTATAACATTGTATTGTATTAATAATACAAAGTGATATAATTATAAGAGGGTACTTTTATTAATTGTCCATTAATGTCACAAGTATTCATAACGAGTAATTCTACTCCATCTATTTGTAAGAACATGTCAAAAAATACTACTACTATTAATGAGATGACCTTAAGCTTTTGTTTTGTAAATATGTTAACGTAAAATTGTATAATATATGGTCTATATGACTTTCTCTATACATTTAATTTTTTTTTTTTTTTTTTTGCCAGTGGAGATTTAATGGTAATTTTATCACTTTCTTTTTGAAGGAAAAGTCCATTAGTCTCCCCCATAATACGAGATACTTATGCTGCTTTGTGCAATGTATTGCAGTCACCTGTTTTGGAAATTACACGTAAAGAAAGAGAGCACTATGGCGTGAAGAAAGAGAGCACTATGGCCGTTCTTGATGGCAAACATGTCATCATTCATGTTTATATTATAAATGTTTTAAAATAAATAATGGGACTTCCACACACTACTCCCATGAGTAAGTTATGGAAAGTTTTTGTTTTTTTATTATACATATGTTTGTGTTAAGTAAGGTAAAATTCTAACTTTTAATTTGCAGTATTCTCTTAAACAACTTTATGACAGTATAAACATTAAGAGATTTGGGTGTCTTATTTTATGGTAAAATTAATCCCAGTTTTCTTTTTTCTTTCAATCTATGCTTTACAAAAAAAAAAAAAAAAAAAAAAAAAAAAAGGGCACTGTAGCTGAAATTTATTAGTTTATTAAGAGTTTTAACATACGTATTATTAAAACTTTGTAGTGTCATTAATTTTATTAGAGTTCAAAAAAAAAAAATTTTTTTTTTTTTATAACTGTGATAGTATATATTCCTAATTAAAACTAAATTCATTACAGGCTCCACCACGAACTGGATCTTCATATTACAATTACAGAGGTTCATTCAGCCATAGCTGATGCAAAATATAAATTCATCATTGTTGATATTGGGAGCTGCTCGGTATCAGAGTGATGAAGGAATTTTCTTCAATTCCACCTTTGGTAAAGCTCTTCATGAAGAAGTGCTGAATATACCTAAAAGTTCTCCCAGCTTATGGATCACAACATTTATTCCCATATACTTTCATTAAGGGTGAAGCTTTCCACCATAAAAGCAATTTAGCCATATTCTGATCAAGAACTGGGTTATTATTATTCAGAGCACACAGATGGATCAAGAATGAATTTGGAATCATGGTTGCCAGATTAGGAATTCTGCAAAAACCAATTGTAGCTGGTCTCACGACAAGTCAGTATATTGGGAAGGCCACTGTCTGCATCCACAATTATTTAAGTGGTAAACAAGAATGTATGCCAGCAAAAGAAGATGATATTGTCCTCCTGGCTTTGCAGATACAGACGATGGCAGTGGCAGTATACTAACAGAAACATAAGAATATAGCGACTCGTTCCGCCAGAAATGTAGCTGCTATAACTTATTTCATATACTAATTATATTAGTGAAGGGGCTGTAACCGTAGCAGTATGCTCCAGTTTCAAAAGATATTTAAAAACTATATTTTATATATATGTATATAATGTTTCATAAAAACAAATTACTAAAGTTAAATTCCCTTGTGACAATGCTGCAAGGAATGAAACATGAATTGCCATATGATAATTTATCTAAATTATATTTTATTTATGATTATTTTAATCTGCACATATATGTAAATATTAAATATTTTTCAGCATCAAAGTGTATATACTGAAAATTTACTTTAGAGTGATATATATGTGGAAGAGAATAACCGATGAAAGCAAAAAAATATAGCTACATGGTATAATTAATTTCTACATATAGGAAGGAAGCAGTCACCCTAAATAATATGCATGTTTGTCATCACTGTGTGTGTTACGAAAGTGAACTTAAATGTGTATATATAAACCACAAATGTGGATTTTTTTTTTTTTTTTTTTAAACGGTCCATTGCTTTTAGTTAATGTCAATTTTTCTCAAATAAACTTTGTAGTAACTGAATTTAAGATTATGTGTTTATGGTGTACAAAACCTGTAATTTCTTGTTAGTCAAATTAAACTTATTGCACACTTGATTAATAACACAATAATAAAGTACTCGATTAATAACACAATAATAAAGTACTTTATCATTTATTCATATTCATCCGACATGTCAAATATAAAATTTACAAGTCTTCCAGATGCTTTTCTTTGCTTGTTTTCGAAATAAAGAGCATAAGGTGGTCAATGTTTGTGTGCTTCTGTGTTTAAAAAAAATGAGCAAAAGCTTTGTCTATCAAATCAAATAATAAATTCATTATTAAATGGTAATCTCAATTCCCACTGCATATTCACTCTTCTGCTTTGTATTTATTTGGAATAGATATAAATACAGGGTTCGTATGGTTCTTAAAAATCTGTAGGTTTTTTTTTTTAATGATTTTTGTCCTTAAAAGTCCTTACTTTCAGCGAAATTCGGCAAAAGATCCTTAATTTTAATCATAGGATTTTTTTTTTTTTTTAACAACTACCATTTTGAGTGTGAATAAACATTTTGGAGTTTGACGATGTATCTGATCTGTTAACGTTTTGAATTTTTTACTGCTAATAAAAACAGTGGATACTCGTGCCTTTTTTAAATATGAGTTCTTTTGTTATGTAGTGCTAAATTTGCCAACTTTATCAACATTTTGGCGGTTTCAAAATCAGTTTGTATAGGAAGCTTTGTTTGGAGCTTTGCAAAATTTATGACAATCTTTTCTCCAAAGATTAAAGGAGACAAAAAAGCTACTATAATTGTTTAAAAATTAATTTGTCTTCTTTTATATTTTTTCATAACAAGAGTTTTTCCCCATGTAATTGTTTCAGAATATTTAAATGGGTATTAGATTTACTTTTTTCTTTTTCTTTTCTGAATTTTTTTTTATATATATCTTCTGGTAATTCGCTTTTACAAAGTTGGTAGGTATAATTTTCTTTTGGATTTCAGGTTAAAAGGTTTCGGATTTCAGGAAAGGTTAGAAGGATTTAAAGGCAAGATTTATAGACCTACAATTCCAAAGAGTTTTTCCCCATGTAATTGTTTCAGAATATTTAAATGAATATTAGTTTTACATTTTTATTTTTATTTTCTGAATTTTTTTTACATATCTTCTGGTAGTTCGCTCTTACAAAGTTGGTAGGGATAGTTTTCTTTCGGATTTCAGGTTAAAGGGTTTCGAATTTCAGGAAAGGTTAGAAGGATTTAAAGGCAAGATTTATAGACTTACAATTCCAGAAAAATGTGTCAAAATGAAAAATGTCTTAAACATGTAATGGGTATGTTTTACGAGTTGTGTTTAGGATAATTTTTGGAAGAACTGTGAAAACAATTCGAATAACAAAAGTTATTCGAATTTTCTTTTTATCCCAGAAATCTTTTTCTTAACATGTTCATTTTCCCTTTATTTTCTTATCTTTTCACTGGACACAAACATTAAAGCAAGCAAAGAAACTGAAAACAGATAATTAAAAATCATCTTATATTTCTCTGTGCACCTTAGCACATCAGTGCCTGCCCTAAATTTTAAAACTTTTGCAATCCCTAAATTTTATTGCTTGGTGGTGCTTTAAATTCTAAAAATCCTGCCACGTGGTTGGGTCATCAACCCTAACATTATATCATTGTATATTTAGACAAACACTCATATCATTCAAGAAATAAAATGAGCAGGATCTAAGTACAAGTGCTTTAGAATTAGAATAACATAAATCTTTGATTAAATCTGAAATCTCAAGAAACTCATTGAAATAAAAACACATTTTTATGAAAGACAGAAAATTATTCTGTCTATGTACAGAAAATTATTCTGTCTATGATGTACATTATGTGTCATTCATCAAATTAGGGGATGGAGCATTGATTTTTTTTAGGGTGGGGGGGGAGAATTAGAAAAGATGCTAAAGGGGAACTGAAATATCTGGAAAATTTTTCAAATTAAATAAATGCTTAAATATATTGTAATTAGTTGTTGCTTCAAAATATAAATATTTTGTAACTTTTATTATAGTAATATCAGTTTAGAATCAACATCATAAATTATAACTGCTGTAAAATGTTCTTAGTGCTTAATTTCATATTTTTGAAAAATAATAATAAAAAAATAATTGTAACCATGTAAATCTTTTATGACATACTCTGAATCTGGCCGTAATAACAGAAGAGTACCAAACATACTAACTTTTAAATAAATATTTTCATGTTATATTAATTTTTGACATAATTATCAAGTTGTAACTAGGAAAATTATATTTAGGTATACCTAAAGTTACAGTATACATTAAATTTTAAATTTTTTAAAAAAAAACTAAAAAAATTTAAAAATTAAGAAAAAAAATTATTCGTATGTATGCTAGTGTTGTGGTACAAGATAGTAAGTTGTTGTTACCAAGATTCAGGAAATTAAAAAAATTATTATTTCGCAGATTTGGAAAGTCTGAACAACCTGAATACGTTTTAAGAGAATATTGATCAGGTGAAGGAAGGCTTCAGTGATATGCTCGTAAATAGGAAAGAATCAGAATCTTGCTTGGAAGTAAACGCGAAATTCAAATATCCAGAAATTTTAAGTCCACGAATAATAATAATAATAGTAATAATAAATTTTAAAAAACTAAAAAAAAGTAAGTAAAGATGAGCCAATTGAAGTAAAGATGAGCCAATTGTAAAGTAAAGATGAGCCAATTGAAAACTAAGAATTAAAATTCAAAGTCAGTTGCCTTTTTGGAATGCTCTTTTATTTGTAAGTGAAAGATTATAGCCGATATCCTTTTATTCTGATGTTTTCAAATTTTCGTGGAATACTGAGGACTTCGGCAATTATTCTGACGATGATAAATTTAATTTTTGTAAAAAAATCGAAGAAGCTTTAAATGACAAAAATGAAACGTGAAAAGATGTAGACAGAACTTTTATATGAATAACATTTTCTGAAAAATTGCGATAAAAATATGACATCTGTAGTCAAAACACTCAAATACATTACCAAATAAGGAACCTACTCATTCCCAAACATTACGATTGCATTACGTGTGTTACACTATAAGGTATTTTTCCCGCCTTCTTGGCATGCCTTCTTAGTGTGGTGGTCTGCACGCTGCGCTCGTATTCCAGAGGTCCACGGTTCGATTCCCGGCGACTGCTAATTTTTCATCTTGCCTGTTTAAAAAAATACCTAATATCTCTACAGTGGCGCCCGAACTAAAAGGGTTACGGATGATGATTCTCCACACCCAGGATTTGGGGATGGGGTCTCCCAAAAACCCCCGTCGCCCTTTAAAAGGGGGAGTATATAATGTTTCCCCCCCGCCTTCCTTCGTGGTGTGGTAGTATGCACGCTGGGCTGGTACTCCAGAGGTCCGCGGTTCGATTTCCGGCGAAGGCGTTGCTAACTTTTCATCTTGCCTGCTTCCAAAAAATACCTAATGTCTGTACAACACGCCTGCTCAAAAAATAAGCAACAAAGGCAAAACACGGAGTGAATTTAATGATATGCGTGAAACTGATGCAAGATGTTGGTGTGGTATTACTAGACCACACAGCAAATAATGAAGCAAAAGCATGCTAAAACACATTGTTGTATTTGACTTCTTGCCTGTCTAATGCAATAATCTGTTTTACATATTACATTTTGTGACGTCTCGCTTTTACTAAAGATTCTACGTGCTTAATAATTTCAGTCTACTTTTTGCTATTATGTATATATAAATTTCCTTTTTTTTAAATTCAATTCTTTCTATAATAAACTTCTTTTTTAATTCAATTCCCTCAATTCCATTGCGAATTTGAGCGAATAAATCGATGTATTTGCGTTATGTTTTTTGCATATATACAGATATGATTATTTACTTTGTTTATTGTAGTACTTTTCATGTGAATTTTCAGCTGTCTTTGGAGGTACTTCCTAAGGAGAATGGTGGAAAATGCGAAATAATGCATAATGTGAAAACATGAACTTTCGAGTTGGTGACACAGTGTTAGATGGAAGATAATGAAATAGCTCTGGCATGACACATGACTGCTATCCGATTATATTCAGTAAATTATACACGTCAATGAAATAGATTTAAAGGGAGTCGTGTCGTTGGAAAACACGCAAACACAATTAAACATGTACCATTACTTGTTCAATCTTTGAAATATTTAGTAGCATTCATTTTTTGTCTTGTATATGTGTTAGACATATTTCTAGTATATTTATATAGGTGTGTTATTATTTCCTTGTTATTGTTAAACATATATAAATGAATATCAATGTGCACTTAGATCATAACAACCAGTTGCAATAAAAGCAGCTCTGGCTCAGCTCCGCGAAAAATTCGCGGAGCAGTGCTTTAAAAGTCGCGTGAGGGGGGGGGAAGACATACAGAAATGGTTGTAAACCAGAGAATCTTATAGTCTGCACAAGCCTTTGAGGCACAAGTTTTCGAGGACAGAGTCATTGCAGGAGGCTTTAAACGAGCAGTTAACGAGCAGTTTCAGTCTGATTAGTTTCAGTCTGATGATGATATACAAGACCTGTATAGATATTCTTTCCAAATACGCCTGGGCTATCCTTCTCAAAGATAAAACATCTGTATCTATCAAATCTGCTTTCGGAACGTACACCCGAATCTTTACAAACAGATGCAGGGAAAGAGTGTACAAGTAAGCAAGTTTAAGATTTTTTGAATACCAGAAACGTTCACTTTTTCACGACACATAATGCAACCAAAGTTTCTGTTGTTGAACGATTCAATCACACCCTTAAAAGGAAAATGTGGAAACACTTTACCGAAATGGATACATGGAGGTACATTCGTGTTATAGATAAACTGATATCCAGGTATAACAATACGTGACATCGAAGTATTAAGACAGAGCCCGCATTGGTTACGTTACAAATCAAGAAGAAATTTGGAAAACGTTGTGCGGTCAGCAATCAGCACAAAAACAATTTCTTTCAGATTTAAAGATCGGATATAGGTGCGCATCAGCCGGG